TAAGACAATTAACCCAAAAGCTCACAAGAAGAGAAGAAGAAGGAGATCCAGAACACTTTCAAAAACAAACCTTGTTTTTCTGTATTGTTGGAGCAGTTCGTCCTTCTTCCTTCTAGCAGATTTGATTTTTTATGTCCTTTTAATAGTTGGTTAGGAGCCTTGCTGTCACGCCCCAGAACCCAAATCCGGGGACGTGGCAGACGCCGTGCACTCATGAGAGGGTTCTACAAATGCACAAGGCTCGGAACTTATCATACCACAATCTGATACCACCAAAAATTGAAGATAAAATTTTATAATTTGCTCTAATATCATAAATCTCCAATAAAGTCTAGTTTACACGATCATGATTTATTTCTAAAATCTAGATCAAATCTCGAAATGGCTAGCCTTCTAACTCGTCACTTCCCGTGGTTTCCCCGTCCTTGGTTTCGCTTCTTGAAATGGTGGACAAGGAAAACTATGAGATAAACTCAGTAAGTAAATATGGAGTGCCTCTTATTAAACTTATAGCATGCCAACAAGTATAATCACGAAAAACGGATACAGTACGGGAACGAAATAGACGTCTCCTCTATAGGTCACGGCCAGTGTTATAAACCTCCCACTGGCAGGCACACTATTTACTAGTGTATAATCCCACTAGCAGGATAACAGAAACAAACTGGTTCTATCAATAACATGTCGACATGTTCTAGCGTTTATAAACCTCCCACTAGCGGGCACACGAATAACATGACCATATCGGAGACAAAATAGGCAGAGGTTAACAGAAAAATCATAATTCACCAATCACTTTCAAATCATCAGGACAATCAATTAAATTTCAAGTAGGCATGCTCAATTCAATAAAAAGAATAAGAATCTTATTTCAAATCAATCATGCTCTTTTTTGTATAAAACGAGTTTAGTCCTGCCACCACTTCAAAAACAAGTCAAAACATGCTTTTAAAAACCGTACGGGCTTTACCATAAATTTACTTATCTCAAATTGCATAAAACCGAAGACTTGATCTTAGTGCTAAACTGACAGAACGATCAGGAACCTAATCAAATATTCAAGAATTAATACCACACTACCACAAATTCAAGGTGAAACTTCATTAAGATCACCCCTAATCACGATGCTATTTCTATCAATCTCCACATGACCGGACATCTCCAAATTGTTCTTATATTACAAACTAAACATTTAAATCCCCGTTAATTGTTGACCCTTGGTGTGTGAACAGCACCCATGAACAGTGACCGTCAACAGTGCCGTGAACAGTAAATGCACTTCCAAAAATTGGCCAAAACACTAGCTAATTCACGGGATTTTCTCTCCAAAAATCACAGCAGCCAGCTCAAGCAATTACACATGAATTAAGCTTAATTATGCTCTAATTACTGTCAAATTTCTCCCCTATTTTTCAATAGATTTTCGGGCACACACAGGGCAGCAAATAACTGATAAAATTTCAAGCTTGGAGCTGTCAACATACCAGATTTTCCAGCTGCAAACCGGACCTAGCAAGGGGGAGAAGCCGACGGCAGTGCAAGGGAATTTAGGGGGATCTACCCAAAATTCAAGAAACCAAGAGCAATTAAGGTAAACCCAAGTTAAATCAAGGCTAAAGGATAGATTAATGGCTGTTCTTACCGAAAAAATGCCCAGAAATTACCCATAATCAAGAGCAGCCAGCGGTGAAAAAGGAAGGAGCAGAGCAGATCCGGAATTTCCAGCAAGGGGAGAAGGTTTCTAAGCTCCTAAATCTTGTTCTTGAACAAGAAAAGAAGGCAAAAACCAAGCTTTTACTGATTTTTTTCCAAATGGGGTTGTCGGCTTGCTTGGTTTTTTTTTTTTTTTGCTCAGTGTAGGGGAAGAAAAGAAGAGAAAAATCAGGCTAAAGAACAAAGAAAGAAAGAAAAAAAAAAAAGAAAAAGAAAAGAAGCTCATCCTTATCCAAAATTTCCCTCTTTAAGTCCCTCAAGTTATGAAATTTTGGCTATTAAGCCCAAAACAATATTTCTCCACAATTTAGTCCTTAACTCACTTATTTATTCTAGAAATTTTTGGGGTATCACACTTGCAATTAAAGCCCATTTAGCCTTTCAAAGCCACCTCACAATTGCCCCAATTAGGTTCCACCTATTTCTTCTGGCTTGTCTTGGAAAGTGCTAAGACATTTAGATACCCTATGACCCATTAAGAATAAACAGATAGTTGAGTTGTCAAAATTTAACCTTTCAGAATTTTTGCTTTGAAGCCAAAAATATTGGTTCAAACCATTTTCGGAAAACAAAAGTTCGGGATTGATTCGAACCAAAATAAATTGGTTCGAACCCAGAACTCTAAACAAGGAGAACATGAATTAATTCTAATCGTGGGGAAAGATTAGAAACCTTGGATTAATTTTCCTGCACACTTAGCACAAAAATAGATTAAACTCTTTTGAATCATGGTTTTAAATCATCATCAAAATACAAAGAGAACCTAACACCTCCTCTCTTGGGAGCTTTGTGGGATGCCTTGTCTGTTTCAGGACTCACCATGTTGGAAGCCTTCCGCTTGGCTATTACCCTTCTTTTTGCCAACGTGTGACGTGAAGCAACATACTCTGGGATTGTGTCATCAACCTGAGGTTCTAGTTATATTGCAGGTTGGCTAGGTTATGAAGAAGGAAGAAGATTGATGAAGTTCTTGGCTACACCAAAAAAACTTGGCACAAAATAAGACTTCCACCATTCCTTGTATGCTGTAGTGCAGCTTGGTTTGAATGGTGGGTCTTGGAGGTTTATATTTTGAAGAGCAAGCATTGAAGTGGCTAAGTACTTAGAGACCACACTAGGTCCTTTCATGGTGTAGCGAAGAGGGAAGTAGTGGTTGAAAGAGAACATAGGAGGCACTAGAATCCCTTGACAATAGCCTAACTACCGGCTGAACTGGTTAGGAGCATAGGGCTTAGCCCCATTCTTTTTTGCAGTTGCTACTACAACCTATAAATAGATCTCGAGGAGTTACATAGTTTGTCCATGCTGAAATGAAGTTTGTCGTTCCTATTTCTGCTTTATACCAGTCTGGCCCAAATTGTCTATTTAAAAATGGAGCAAATTCAGAGTCTGGTTTATCAATGGAGAAGGAAGCAAAAAATTGGAAGCAAGATTCATAAGTCTTAGCAGGTTTGTCTTCAAATATGGCATCTTTGTAAATCATACCATAAGTAAGAACTTCTTTAGTAGGCAGTGGCTTGAGAGTAGGACCCAAGGCTGGGAAGTAACAGTACAACCAAAGCTGCAAAAGCCACAAAAGGCCACCACAGAGGTTGAATAGATAAATGGTAGCATCATAGCAGCTTCGATAAAAGCTAGCCAGCAGAAATGGAGCAAGTGCTAGACGCCTACCATGAGTTAAAGCTAAAGCTAGATTAATATACTCCTTGGTGGGTCCTTTTCCAACTACACAGACAATGAACTTGCAAATTAAGGTTAGTAGAAATGCAGTATGTTCTCTCACGTCTGGGGCTTCAGATGGTTTCTGGCTAGCTTTAATAAAGGCATTGTAAGAGGCTAGAATGGATTTTGTATCAAAATCAGCACCCGGGATGCTCAATAAAGCGTGATTTCTTCTCCAACACAAGGCAAACTAGTAAGAGAACAAATGTCAAACAAAGTAACAGACATAGCACTACAAGGGAAATGAAAACAATTATAAGACCCAGACCAAAACAGTAAAGCGGTTCCAAGCAAAACCCTATCCATGGACATCTGGTAGGTGGTCATCTGAATAAATTCATACAGACCCAGTGTTTTCCATGTGTTTCCAAAGGGTTTTTCCAGCCGAGCAACCCAAGAAGGCCAATCATCAGATTTGTTAGTTGGCCAAGATCTAAATCTGCCAAGCCAAGGCTCCCAATCTAGTTCGAGTTGGAAGGGGACGAAGTGTCTATGAGGTTGTGGATACAGAACATGCAAATTTGAAGGAGGTGATGATGTGAAAACAGGACCTAGAATTAAAGAATCTGAAGTTTCAAGAAAAATTTGGTTTGAAAAGCTTCTCGGTACCTGGTTACAAATCGAAGAGAGTTCTTCTTGTAGGTCTCGATTTTCGAAGATGTCAATGGGGTCCGTCTGTTCTGGAGGATCAGTTTGAGGGGGAGAAGCTCTGGTTGCGCCAGAGTTAATACCGATTTTCTTGCTGCCAGTCATGGTTTAAGGCTAGATCTGGAGACAATAAGGTTGAAGAGGATGACAGAAGGTGGGTTTGTTTTATTTTTTATTGTGATTTCTCAAGTGAAGAGTGTTTGAGTGTGGGTAGAAGATGAGTCGGTGGTTTTATTTAAAAATAGAAAAAAAAGGGTGAGTCAATGGAGTATATAAATATATTTAAATGAAAAAGCAGATTGGGATGTGATAAGGAAATTTGCAGATTTTCGGGAAAAGGAGTACAAAAAGGTTAAGATTTAGATTAATTAGGCACGTGGCTTTAGGAGTTTTGGGGGGTGAGTTTAAAATTTAAACACTTGGATTTATTCCCATAAAACCAAGTGTTAGGGGGCATTGTTTACACCTTAAAAATAAATTAATGAGATAAAGCCATGTATTAAGAGTAAGCCCAATTTTTAAGGAGATTAGGTTGATTTGGGTTGGGCCAACTTGGATTTCAATGGCCCAAACGGAGTTATAAGGAAGGTGGATTTCGAGTGACAGAGGAGAAGTTGGATTTTGGTATTTTGAGTTTGATTTAAAATAGGAAGTTGAGAGTTTTTAGGGAGTTATCTTTAAGATTTTGTTGGAGATAAGGTTAAGTAAAAACTATCAACTGCCAGATAGCTGCCAAACATGGAACCCCCACTACTCGATCATGGTGGGAAAGGGCCGAGAAACATGGAGAAATTTTCCAAGCACCGAAGGAAAGAAAAATAGAGAGAAGAAATCAATTACAAATGGCTTGCCTTACACACACACTGCCCAGAGCATGTTTTTCAAATTTCAGACTGCTTTTTCCAGATTTTAGCAATAGTTTCTAGATTAGTTTACCAGATCTGTTCTTGTTCATAGCCTTAGGTTAGCTTTTTCCATCCTTGTTCATATCTTTCGTCAAAGACTTCAATTTAAGTTAGTTTTTAAGCATTTGGAAGCAATTCAACCTGCAAAACAAGTCTGCTCTGTTGATTTGGTTAGTTCCTCTTTCTTTTATGGATTCGATTACGTTATTTGTTCATGTAAATAGGTTGAATGCTTTCTACCTTTCTTCTTTTGTTTCTACACAATAGCCAGACATGTAGTTTATTTAATTTCAATTTTCAGATTTAATTTTATAAGTTTTCAGACTTTAATTATTTCATAGATTTTCCTTTAGTTTTAGTTATCAAGTAGTTTAGCTATTTTTATTTTAAATATGCAAGTAATTAAGTTTAATTGTTATGGATTGCATAGTAGAAATTATTGTCTGTGATTTTACATTTTCTGCTATCTACGAATTTTATTTTCGTGGCATGTTATTTCCTTTTATTAATCTCATGTTAGATTAATTGCCTTAGGATTTTGTGTTAATTTAGGATTTGTAGCTTTTATTACACTTTTGTGGTTGTAAAGTCCTTGGAGGTTTCTAAGGCAATTAGTAACTCATTTTGCAGAACTCCAACCTCTATTTTGCAACATCGTCTGGGCCGCAATTTATTTCATAGACGTTCTTTCAAGCCATCCTTTTTAGAGGTCGACCGTTGGAAAGGAGAAGGGTTGTCTGGAAAATCATGTTTTCTCGCTTTTAGACAAAGTAAGTGGCACGCCTAATATCCAAACTCACGTTGTAAAGGCCGGCTGAGGATTTTTGGGGAAACACTAACTAATAGGTTTGAATTTTATATATATTAATGCTGATTTTCTACCTTACTATTATTGATAATTGGATGAGTTTTATGATATTTTACTTGATTTTACATCATTTTTATTCTTTCAATAAGGACTTACTTGAAAGAAATAAAAAATTTCAAGATCAAATTGAACAAATCAAAACTATAAGGATCAAAATGTCATATATGAATGATGAGGGACTAAAATAGTTTTATCGAAGAATAACCAAAATTGTATTTTAGTCCAAAATCCTGGTGGGAACAGGCTAGACACATTAATTGGTGAAGGTGTTGGTACTTGCTTTAAGCTGTCAACACTGGGTGATTTTCAGCATCTATGTATCATGGCTTGTTATTTTGCTATGGATCTCACTCTTATTCTAATTAGATTTTGTAAAGTCCTATAAATACTCATTTAAAGAACAGATCTTGGGACACTCTTGGATTTCAAGATGAGGCAACAAAAAATTCATCAATAATAAAAGATTAAGAATTTTAATATATTTGAATTGAGTGTTGTTTTTTCTTAAATTATTTTTATTTTTTATATGATATGCTTATGTTCATAACTTTTTTTTCAAGTTTAATTATTTTTATTATAAACTAATTTAGCTAACTAAGACTATAGTGTAGCCTACTCAATCTACTATAGGTTTTTTGTGATTTTATATTTTTAATTAAAGTTATTCGCATGATATTTTTTATTATTGATTTTAATGCTTCAAAAGCTTGATCACATTTTGATGATTATGTGATTTATGCATGACCTTGAGAATGAATTGCATGAATTAGAGCAGCAACCATATAAACATGTATTAAACTATAAGACCAAAAAGTGATTAATGTCATAGGTAATAGTAGAGGAAGAGAAGAGATAATTTTCTTAATTATATCTCTATTTTAATTGTTATTTTCTTTTTATTAGTTTTAGTGAAAATTTATTCTCTTTTCAATTATTCAAATAAATTTAAGGTTAATTTTTTTTGTACTTAATTAATCACTATCCTCATGGATTTGACACTCTTCTTGTCATTATATTACTTGTAACAACTAGTGCAATTGCTAAAGTGAATTTAACTCATCACTAACATTATTACAATGAGCATTAATCATATGGTATTAAATGCAAGAATTATTTACAAAATGACAATTATTCTTACCTTAAAAAACTCTCATACTTGCACCTTCTTTTTTGTGGGAACAAGTCATAGGTGAAGTAATAATCATCATAGACCCTCTTCCACAATGTCATAATCATTCTTGGGACTTCTACATCCAAGAATGTACCCTTATCTGAAAATTTGATAATTGGTTTCTCCTTCGGCATTTTTGCAGGCTTTTTCCCTTTCTCCAAACCTCTTCCTCTCCTAGTGTCTTGATGGGATAAGCCTACAACAAGAACAAAACCTTGTGGACTAATACATCCCATATGACTTGCATCCATATATCTGGTGTAGCATCACAAGCTAGATCTGTCGTGGCCACACGGGATCGTCTACCACATGTGCCTCGACTACGTGCTAAGTTAATAGGCCTAACTGACATCCTACAAAACAAATGGCAATGCAAAATAAATTACTACTTATGTCACCAAAGAGAAATATTTTCATAATATTATTTTTTACTTTTATAAGTTATTACAGCATCATAATCAATGGCAAGGAAATAAAATTAAGAAAAAGTTAGTAGTCATTAAAAAACATATTCATTAAATAGGAAATCCCACAAACAAGAGTAATTTTTCATAATAACAAATTGTTCAACTATTACATAACATATATTTAATATGTAAACTACTATCCTGTATCACTACTATCAGCATCAACATCCCTTAATATTTCATATCTTTCATTTACTTCATTTGCATTTTCATCACCATCATTAGCCGCAATCCATTTATGTCAACCACTATTGCACCTCTTGCATGCAACTCCACACACTACTAGAAATAGGGGCTTATTCGGTCAAGCATCTTGACCGAATAAGTAGGAATTTTGACTAAATAAGAAACAATTCAATCAAATTACTTGACCAAATTGTTGACCTAAATATCTATTGTACAAAATAACAATTCAAACAAAATTTCATCTTGAAAATTTTGGTCAAAAAATTTGATTGAAATATTATTTTTAAATTAAAAAAATTAATATTTTTGTGTAATTATAATGTATATAATTACTATTTTTATATAATTAAAAAATACATTTAATTAATGTTTGAAAATCTATTTATTTTATCCAAATCAAAATATACCAAAATTTCAAATTGAATATTATATAACAAAAATCAAAATTCTATAAAAATATTTAAATTTAAACTAAATGGTAGAAAGTTAATTACTAACTTTTTTTCTTTTTAATTTCTCCATCCCTTAACACCAAGAAAGAGTTAATCATAAATTACAAACTAAATGGGAAACTTAATGAAAAAGAAAAAATTATAACATTTTAATGAAATAAAAAAAAGAGTACCAAATGAGATTGCCTCCTTAAAATGCCTTTAATTTCTATTATAAAATCTTGAAAAAATAAAATCGATATTAATATTAATTGAAACAAACTTGTTAGTTGTAAAAGAAATAAACTAATAAGATTGAAATTAAAGGAAGACAGAAAATGAAAGAAAATGGAGGTTATGGGGAATAGACAATGTGAGAAAATGGAAGAGAGGATGAGAGTAATGCATGAAAGAAAAGGCAAAGTGAAGAAATGAGAAGATGAGAAAAAGGAAGTGTTGTACCTATGATTTTGATGATTACAAAACACATTTGAGTGACTAATTGGTTCATTTAAGTGTGTAGTTAAAATTGCAAAATAAGTAAACCTGGACTGCACTTAATAATGGACCAGAAAGGCTTGAACATCTGCAGAGAGCCGGCTCTTGAAAGTTGCAGTCGGCTCTGGTGAAATGCAGAGAGCCGGCTCTGGAAGCTGCAACCGGCTCTAGAAGCTGCAACCGGCTCTACGGGGAAAGTTTTAAAAGTCCGTTGCTTGGCGCGCGTGGGGATAAGACGCAGAGCCGGCTCTAACTTTGTAGCCGGCTATGAGGACGCATTTAATGCACAACGGTCGACTTATTTGAAGAATATTAAATGTATTTAAAGTCGAAGTTGCAAAGCCGGCTTAAAGTTTTGCAGCCGGCTCTCGAGGAAAACAGAATGTGCTGCAGACCTAGATAGCCGGCTCTAATATGTTAAGCCAGCTCTCCTGACAATTATGCAGCTCGAGCTTTGTGTCCTGCAGAGCATTTAATGACCCCCAACGGCTAGAAACGGCTATTTTTGAGCAAGGGGCTATAAATATGGTTGGTAACAGATCTGAAGAAGGTTGGAGAACATTGCATTGAATATCTTTACCTACCCACTAGAGCTTTAACTTGAGTTTTTGATCTTTGAGTGATCATTGCTTGTAATCCTCTTCTTGTGCTATTAGTGAGTGATCTTGGGGATGTGTTGATTCCTACAAGAGTGATCTGAAGAGAGGATTTTTGGGGTTAAAGTGTAAAGGGGTGAGATTTGAGAGAAACCCTTCTTCTTGTAAAGGATTGAGTG